TTCAAACCTTGCCTGACATGAACAGGAAGCGCGGAAAAACGATACGTTGCGCATAAACATACAGCATGACCACGGCCAAATGTAAGGTACGCGAGTTCCCCAGACGTTCACAACAACACATACCTATGGAGACGCGCTCCCCGAACGTTCACAAGCATGTTTCTGAGTATCCTCTCACTCCTCTGTGCACCTCCAATTTCCTCCGTCTCTCCTTCACTTTCATCACCACCTTTAATATCGTCATCGTCACCATCACCAGCACCCCAACACAGCATCGTCATCGTCATCACAAGCAGCAGCATCACAAGCACGATCAGCGTCATCACCAATACCATCATGATCGCCATCATCATCAACGCCATAATCAGCATCAACACCATAATCAACATCCCCATCATCACACACATCGGCTTCGCAACATAAGCGGCATCAGCATCATCACCATCCTCATCATCATCATCATCACCATCATCATCATCATCATCACCATCACCATCACCATCATCATCATCATCATCATCATCATCATATGCAGCATCATCATAATCATGATTATCATCAGCATCCTCATCATACTCATCATCATCCTCGTCATCATCTTCATCATCGTCATCATCATAGTCTTCTTTTCCTTCGCCATCATCATCGTCATCATCAACACCATCATCATCATCACCATCATCATCATCATCCTCACCATAACCTTCATCACTGGCATCCCCATCATGGCCTGATGGTTTCGAAGACCCGTCCGCAGGCAGTTTCTAAGGGATGTCTTGAGCGAAACGCTTACTTTTAAACAGAAGTGTTGAACAACCAGGTGTTTTGTCAATGATCTCGCTTCTTGGACCATCTTGGAGGTTATCCAAGAGCGCTCCCAAAAGATGTCTCAAGACGGCTCTTGGCGCATCCCATTTTGTGAGGATGCAGGAAGCGACACGGCCAGGTTTGAAATTCCGAAGATTAGGCCAACGATTTCAACATCCCAGTTTCCGAGAATGTCACAGGCGAAGCGCTCATTTTCAGCACAAGACGTCTAAAGATAGAGCCTCCAACATCGCGATTTGGCGAGGACGTGTCAGGCGAAACGCTCATTTTCAAGACTTTCCTGACATGAACGGGAAGCGCGTAAAAGCGATAAGTTGCGCATGAACGTACAGCATCATCGCGATCAAATGTAATGTACGCGAGCTCTCCGGACGTTCACAACACATACCTATGGACACGCGCTCCCCGAACGTTCGCAAGCATGTTTCTGAATATGCTCTCACTCCTTTGTTCACCTCGAGTTTCCTGCGTCTTCTCTTCTTTTATCATCATACTTACTATCGTCATCGTCACCACCACCAGCACCCCACCACATCATCGTCACAAGCATCACCGGCAGCAGCAGCATCACAGGAAAGATCATCATCACCACCAACATCATGGTCACCATCCTCATGATCAGTACCATCACCAGCATCAAAATCATCATAAACATTAGCTTTGCAACATCGGCGGCATCAGTATCATGATCATCAGCATCGTCGTCGACATCATCACCATCATCATTCATCACCGTCGTCATCATCATCGCCATCACCGTCATCCCCATCACGATCTGATGGTTTCGAAAATCGGTCCGCTGGCATTTGTTTTGTAAGGGATGTCTCGAGCGAGATGCTGACTGTTAGCCACAAATGTTATAACACCATATGGTTTGTCAATAAGGTCGCTTCTTGTGCCATCTATGAAGGTATCCAGGAGCGATCTGAAAACATGTCTCCAGAAAACCCTCGGCGCATCACGTTTTCACGAAGACGCCTTGGGCGAAACGGCAATATTTGAAGTCCCGACAATTCGGCCAGCAATTTCAACATCCCCATGTTCCGAAGATGTCTCAGGCGAAAGGCTCATGGTTAGCATCATGCGTCCGAAAATAGAGCCTCCAACATCGCGATGTGGCGAGGGTGTCTGCGGCGAAACGCTCATTTTCCAAATCCGCCTGGTCCCCGACCCGCGAGCGATCCCGAACCATTTCCCCTCCCTAAACCCCCAATTGATAAGTGTGTCCCTCTGGGAAGCATGCATCCATCGCGCGACTCTTCGATTCTAAGCGCGCGTCCCGTCATCCGACAACAACACGTTCTTCAGCGAGAACGAACCATTCCCACCCCTCGACCGCTCAGTTGATACATATATCCCTCTGGGCTACATACGTCCATCGCGCGACTCTTCGAGTCTAAGCGCGCTTCCCGTCATCCACCAGCAACGATTTGTCCCGATCGCGAGCCATGCCCCCCCCCACCCCCCATGGACCCCCCCCTATTGATGAATACATCCGCCTGGGCTACATACGTTCATCGGGCGACTCTTCGAATCTAAGCGCGCGCCCCGTCATCCGCGAGCAACGATTGGTTTCCCAATCGCGCACCCTCCCCCTGGACCCCCACCGTTGATGCATATATCCCTCTGGGCTACATACGTCCACCGCGCGAATCTTCGAATCTAAACGCGCTTCCCGTCACCCGCTAACGAAGAATGCGTTGCAACCCGCCACCCCTATCTAGTAAGATATGCTGATAATATATGATCACTTTCAGCCAAGACATCCAACTGTGTGTGTGGCTCCGAGTTCCTCGACTATGCTTCCCGTCAGCCACTAACGATCGGTACCGTGCAACCTGCCACCCAATAGTATAGGATATTTCAAACAGATGTTCGAACACTCAACCAAAACGTCCAACTCTCGCTTCGAAATCCTCGACTATGCTTCCCGTCACCCGCTAACGATCGATACCGTGCAACCCGCCACCCCATATAGTAAGAGATTTGAATCAGATAGTCGTATATTCAGACAGAACGTCTAGCTCTCGCCTCGAATTCCTGGAAGACGCTTTTTTTGACAACGCAACCCCAACCTAAGAGGTCTCGCGAGCCCTCACAAGGCCTGCCGACAGGGAGGCCTGCGCGCGTGTGCGTGCACGGACGCAACACACGAGGTGCCCACCCACTGGTGGGCAGCTTCGCACGTCAGTCTGCGGCCCTCTGACCGTAGGACTGGCGACAAGCTAGAAAACGGCACTGAACGTGTTTCACACAAAAACAACGGAGAACCACACCGCACAATAGGTGCCCCTATCGCGGCGCGCCCAGGGCATTGCGCAGACGACTCTGCCACGACAGGCCTCCAGACGTGCAACTGCGAGCCGGGAGGGCCTGCCGCCTTCAGAACACCACTGGGCCAAGAACGAAATAACGACTTCTGAACCCAACATACAGCACGCAGAGGAAAACGGGACGAGCCACGAACCTCTGATATTGCCCATTGCGCACGTGAGGAAAGCAGACAAGTGTAAATTGAATCAAAGTGACACCGCTACAAACTCCAGCGACGAACCTCCAGCAATGCATCATACATTGAGAACAAAAGAAGCGTACCAACCTGGACCCGTGGCACTGATACAGAGAAAAGCGTGCGACGACAACCGAATATGGGTGGTAGTACGCCCAGGACGGAGGGAGTAAGGCTTTAACCCTGCGGCACCTCCAATCCCAACCTCCGACCTGGGACGGAGCATGTCGAAGAAGGACAGGAAACCCAGCCACACCAGTAATGTGTACGAAACCCAGCCACGGCGGAAGACTGCACCACTGTAAGATCGCGCGCTCAAGAAACTTATGAACCAGATCGCACGAGAACGGTGATCCTCCAGCACCGTTGAGTGCCGCCATTCTGCATAGCTTCGCCACTGCGTCCTGGCCCTCGTAGAGGTCGCCCTTATACCACACTCGCCCTCTGGCGAGGGTGGTGCGGCAGACTCGGTGGTAACACCACATGCTGTGCACTGGCTCGTCTCTGTCGGTCATCGTCGGCAACCTCTCGAGACTCCAGAACGGTCGTGCCGCCGTCCAGCGCTCGGCCCTCCAGCGCGTAGTATTCAGCTCAGCGACGGCTCGCGAAAGAAGGCAACAGACGAAACATCGTAACCATGCCATCGCACTTGCATGCTGCGCGGGGGTTTGCGACCCCGCAGGCAAATCTGTGTCGCTCGACATCGCTCGAGCCAGGGCCTTTGGAAGACGCTTCCCGTCATCCACCAAGGTCTGAAGCCTCCTGGGCACATTCCTTAATGAACGCCCTCGACGCATTCCCTCCACCCCTGGGCCAAAAAAACGAACGACCCGTTCCGAGGTGCGCGCGCAGCACAAGGTAGCCTTGACGTATATGGTCTGTCAGCGCGCTGAGGCATACAAGGCTCGATCCACCAGGCCGAGTACAGATTGCCCCCTGGATTCTCGCGCCCTGCGCCATCGTTTTGGGCTGGGCATCGTTCTTAAGAAGTGAAGTGGCCTTGTGGGTCTACTGTAGGGCGGCGAAGGAGCTCGGCTCCATCCGCCAAGGGCGACCTGTCTTTACCTTGCGGCGGCCCTGCGAGCAGAACGTAGCCATCCGCCTGCACGGTACCTTGGTAGTGGACGCGGTGTTCTGAAAGCAGCTTGTAGAACAGTTCAAAGCTGAGCTACACGACGCATCCACTGACGCAGGCGTTGCCCGATACATGCAGGCAGCAATTATCACGCCAGCCGTCGCAAACATAGTGGTATGGCAGCTCTTCGTTGGTAACGCAAGACAGACACGGACAGGGTGACCAGAAGTCATCGGACAATCTGGCAGATGGAAAGACGAGCAATATAAGAGGTGCCAATTTGCAACTCGTCGTCTGCCATCCTCTTCCACCGCCTTCTCCTCCTGCCGCTTCTCCTCCTCCTCCTCCTCCTCCTCCTCCTCCTCCTCCTCCTCCTCCTCCCCCTGACCTTTTCTAAATCCGTGCTTCGGTGAGGGCAGTCTGCAAGCCCCATCTCCGTCGTCGGCGTCGGCGTCGTCGTGGTCGTGACATGGTGGACTTGTTTCCCCAGTACGCAGGGACACCCACCACCACTCTCATCACTCCGCACCTCTTGTTCATACACCCCCTCCCACCACTGCCCCTTCCTTCTCCCCAGGAGGTCCTTGCGAAGCCTCCGCACAGCAGACAGGCGTATGACCACCTGGAGCCGGCGGCCAGGGCGCCGTAGAGCGACACCACCCAGATGAGCAGCATGGATGTCAGGTAGACCTGCGGAAAGGCAGGGCAACCGAGGCGCGGCAGGGCTCGGAAGCACCCCGGAGGCCACGAGCTAAACCAGCTCTCGCTGCGTGCCACCGCCCGCTCTGGAGCGTGTCGGAGAGGCTGCGAGGGATCGCTCCAGAGAGCGGGGGCGGCATTCCCCCCCCGGTGGGTCGCATGCGCAACCGGAAGATCAGCAAACGAGCAAACGTGGGTCTGCTGTTCAGCGTGCGGCATGTCGGCTCAGTGGTGGGGGCGGCCGTAAGCCCAGGTGAGAGGTCCCAACTTTCTCAGGGTCAGAGAAAGCACACAATATGTGTATATATATATATATATGTGCGTCTTGATTTGCACTGACGTCACACATCGAGGGGGGGGGGCATTCCCCTGGTGGGTCACATGCGCAACCGGGCAGCACCATTGCAATTGTTTGAGGGCGGGAACATGGTAAGGAAATATTCCAGTTATTGGGGGAGAGGAGTCTTGACAGGGGCATCCCCCTCATCGAGACCTCGTCCAAACTCGCGACCTCGGAATGCGAGATCGACGGGATCCGCGTTGATCTGGCCTTATCTTACAAGATTCATACCTGGAGCCAGGTAGCAGTGCACTCTGAAAGGCAGAAAACTAAGAGGTGATCGCGAGAGCAATGAGCGGAAACAATCTCGAACAAATACTCATGTACCCACAGGGTATCTTAACTAGAAAATGAAACTTTCCCACAGCATGGATGACACCGTGCATGATGAACCGCCGGCGAACAAATCCTCAGTTGGATATGCAGGGTTGCGGCAGATCCCCTGACTTCGAATCACTTCCCCGATAGCATGGAGGTATCCAAACGACGATGCTCACTAGCTTCCTTGTTAAAAGCAGACTCGAGCCGCACAACATTGATAAACAGATGCTTCGTGTGTTCCTGTGCTCCTATGAATTTATCAAACTGCTTCCGTAGTCGCCTTGTTGTCCCAGCAGAATAGAGGAACCGTACATCGACAAACACATGAATCCAACGTTGGGGACGCGTTGCGCAATGAAGCGCTGATGTACGCAGCCTTCTTGCGAGCAAGTGGCTCATTTCCGCATATTCGAATGTCGTCGTGTCCAACCAGCTTCGGACAGGTAGAAATATTATATCGAAATAACAGAAGTTGCTGAGCATCGACCACTCCAGCAAAACACGCACACATCATCATGTGGTGCCTATTCTCCTGGTAGGACAGCCCGGCCCTCGAAGGTAGGACACGCTGCCTACATGCACAACGTGTAATCACATGCGGGGTACCATCGTTGGGTGGCTCCCGGGTCCCTTCGAGCTCTGACAACGTATCCGCCACCGTGCTGCGTGGATCAAGTGGAGTGTCCTCAGGTCCTTCCGAGTCGTCCTTACAGGATGCTGGGACATTCCTCCCAGAGGGTCGAGAACCTTGAAGACGCAGGCTCGACCCACATTCTGCAAGCTGCCTCGCTCCTCCGTCCTGGAGGCTCGCTCCTCCACAACGGGCGCTCGGCCTCCAGAATGGAAGCATTCGGTCCTCCTTCAGAACTTTGCGGGAGGGGGCAGACTCGGGGGGCCGAACCTGCGATGCCACGAGTGTCGCCTGCTCGGCTGGAGGCCCCCAGGACCGCCCTAAGATCGGGTGTTGCCAGAAGCGGTCCTGGCCCCAAGGTGCCCGCAGGATTGCCAAGGAGGCCCCCGCGGTCTCTAGAGAACCCCTCGCGAGGCCCAGCGGGCCCCAGGGGCTCCAACAATTATGCAAAAAGCGGGGGTACCTTGGGCCAGGGGCACCATGGGCAACCCCCGACAAGACAGCCCCCCCCGACCCGAGAGGGCCCCGACAGGCCCCAAGGAGGCCCCACAGGGGCGGGCCTGGGTGGGGGGGGGCAAGTTCCCAACCTACGGATCTCCGAGGCCTCGGGAGCCGAACCCGCGATGCCACGAATGTCGCCTGCTAGGCTGGAGGCCCCCAAGACCGCCCCAAGACAGCCCCCCGACCCGAGAGGGGCCCGACAGGCCCCCAAAAAGGCCCCGCGGGGCGGGCCTAGAGAGAGAGGGGGGGGCAGGAGCCCTCGTCTTTAAGGGCATGAGCTGGCTTCGCCAGCGCTGGTTTCACCGACGCTGGTTTTGCCCCGCTGGTTTCGCCGACGGCTGGTTTCGGAAGGCTGCTTTCGCCGGCGCTGGTTTCGCCCAACTGGTTTCGCCCCGCTGGTTTCGCCGGCGGCTGATTTCGCCGGCGCTGGTCTCGCTGGCGCTGGCTTCGCCGACGCGAGCCCTAACGGGCGGGTCGGGTCGGGCGGGGGGGGCGGGACATTAAAGTGTGCGGCGGGCTCGACCGAGCACGCGCGAACCCTAACGGGCGGGTCGGGTCGGGCGGGCGGACCCTAGCGGGCGGGTCGGGTCGGGTCGGGCGGGCGGACCCTGACGGGCGGGTCGGATCGGGCAGTTTCGCCGACGGCACCTGGCTTCGCCGACGGCAGCTGGTTTCGCCGACGGAGCTGGTTTCGCCGAAGGAGCTGGTTTCGCCGGGCGGCGAAACCAGCCGGGCGAAACCAGTCGTCGGCGAAACCAGCGGTCGCCGACTTTGAGACGGCCCCCAAGAAGCATTGGTGGCGGAAGGGAAGTTCAACAGGGGGTGCCTGCCTGCGACTGGCACTCATCAAGCATATGACCTTCTCTGTTTCTATGTTGTCGGTTGGTTTGTTGTGTTCTCCCTCTCTCGCTCTCTCTCTCTCTCTCTCTCTCTCTGTACTGCACATGCTTATAGACACGATATAAACATACATAGTTCGCTCTCTCTCTCTCTCTATATATATGGGTGTCTAAATATACATATCGAGAGAGAGAGTGAGAAAGAGAGTGTACTATTACAGCGCGTGTATCTGTAGGTATGTATAAAACGCATGTCGTGTTCGCTCTCTCTCTCTCTCTCTCTCTCCCTCTCTCTGTCCCAGTCTCTCTCTCTCGCTCTCTCTCTCTATCTGTATATATACGGTTATCCCTTGCTCTCTCTCTATATATACCTGTCTCTATCTTACTATCTCTTTCTCTGCGTCGCTCTCACACGATCTCCCCCTCTCTCTCTCAACCCCTCCCTCTCTCTCAATGGCTTCCCTTTCTTCTGATAAATCTGTCATCGATGCATATGCACGTGCATATACATCTACACGTTACTTGACCGTGTGAACGACGACAACACGCGGGTCTTACGCGACAGCAGATAGCAATCTTACGCCGCGGCGTGCGTGGGCCGCCAGCGTTGCACGCCGCCTAAAAAAGAGGGCGCTTACGCGCGACTTCGCGCGGGATGTTTAGGCGCGAATGTCGGCGCAATCTACCATGTTGTCTTCCGCTGCTCATGCAGTTCATGTGGACCCTCCGCTAGCTCATTCTTCACATGCGTGCAGCATACATCTATATGTACACGTGCACATGCATATATGTATGTATACGTACAAGCCGGTGTATACATACGTACATAGAAAGGCGCGTACCTGTATGCATCGCGCCCCTACCATGGTAGCTGTCCAGCTGTCGTGCACACACGAAGAGCTAATCGACAATCGGTCCTGTGGCAAGAGGGCGTTGACACCATGGTGCATGCACACATGAATACCGAATCGGGAACACAACATGGAGGGAGCCAGCCTAAGATGGTCTGTCGATCGCAGAAGGCGCGACGATGGACATAGAGAACAGGCGAGAACGACCGATACCATATCAAGCGAGTGCGAAGTGCGAGAAATATAACAAGTACATCCTCATCCCCTCCATGGAGGCACAAACAGTCAGCCTCCCTTCCTCCACCTGACGGTGTAAATAAAAGAGTAAGGAAAGGATGACCAACAGGCCAATCCACTCGTTGTGAAACTTTCGGAATGCCACCTGCATGGACAAGGCAGGGACGAGCGGGAAGGAGAGCAGACGTGAGAAGATGGGCGCGGCCGTCAAATGAGCGGCAAGTCACAAGGAAGAAGTGCACCGCATTGATTGGGGGCGCGCCATCTGCTCGGACGCACATCCATCAGAATCCAGGATGGCTGCGGGCCAAATAATTCGAATCGGTTTGACTCGACGTGCCTCAGGTGGCTACCGTCATAACTGCGCGCCTCCGCTAATGATTGCCGAAAGCGGGGGAAGGGGAAAGAGGATAGTCGGAGCGCTGCAAACTGGAAACTAGGTTGCTTCTGATTGCGACTCGGTTGTCGTATCACCATACCCCCAAACCACGCCCCCCGAAAGTCTGGGGACGCCTCCTTGGCGCGCCATCGCACGACTACGACGACAGCGACGACGACGACGACGACGACAACGGCGACGACGACGACGACGGCTACGAAGACGACGCTGACGACGACAGCGGCGCTCCCGCTGACGCTGACGATGGCACTTGCGACGACAGCGACGACGACGACGACGACGACAACAACAGCAACAATAGTTTAAGACTGTTGGCTCTTATCTGCTCGCGTGCCATTCACCACGTATATAGCGAACCCTCGATACATACCCGTCCTCTTCGTCCTCGATCGTACCCTCCTGGGGGTAAATCTTCCATACATGCAACGTGTGTTTCGTGCAGCCCCTGAGGCAGGGGAGGAGAGCACGGATGGCAGGAAGGAACAAGGGGGAAGGAGGAGGGGGGGAACACGAGAGAGAGTAGCACAAGGGGGGCTAGAAGCAGAAAACACGCGGCAGAACCAGACGGGCAGATCGGGCGGATAGACCCAAACGGGCGGGTCGGGAAGGCGGGACCAGGCGGCCAGGTCGAACAGGCGTGAATAATGTATGAATCGCTAGGAGAGCTCGAGCGATAGCGCGATTATCACGTAGATCATAAGAAAGGCCGAGAGCGCGATTCCTGAGTGTCGAGGGCGCGGCGTCTGAATAGATCGAGAGGAATTCCCACGCGAGAGCGCGATTCTCAATTTGTGAGGAAGTCCCGCGCGAGAATGCGATGTTGGAATCAACTGTGAGGAGGTATCAAGCGGGAACCGTTGTTGTTGTAACTCGGGGACCAGGGGCCCACTTTGGTGACCCGTCGCTTTCCCTTGTGTACAACAGGGTGCAAGCCCCAGGAAGAGCACTTTAATTGACAAGAAGTTCAAGTGCCCCGGAGGGGATCAGCAGTAGTTATTCTTCAGAGATGAAAATGCAACAACAATAACAACAACAACGACAACAACAACAACCACAACCACAACCACAACCACAACCACAACCACAACCACAACCACAACCACAACCACAACAACCACAACCACAACCACAACAACAACAACAACAACAACAATCACTTTACCCGAACGCTCAGTGTTCTCACCAGTGCCAGGGTTTTCATGCGACGCCAGCCAATACCCCCACTTTGTGGGGGGGCAGTGCAAGCTCTACCAAATATCCACACGACTCTTCGCCACCACCCACACCCAGCTTCCCGCCCTATGACGTTCGGACACTTCACTTCGTGGCCTGCGGACGACCGTGGCTACTACACTGGCGTGGAGTACACACCCACAGAAGTTGTTAGGACAGCGCGCGCGGGTAGAAATTTTGAAAAGTCGTGCAGGTGTTTTTCGAGGACCTACGGTGCGATTCGTGTGATTTTATGATGCGCGGTGCTAAAATTCTTAAGAAGCCCAATGGTTTTTGGAGATTTCGGCGTGCGCGCGCGAAGAAAAAACGAATGTGTCCCGCATGGTATTATTTGACAGGGATGATGGCCCTGGCAGGTGCGCAACCGTTGTCGCAGAAGTTCGAAAAAGTTGCTCGCAAAAGCCCGTTTGACAGAAATGTTTAAAAAGTGTTGGGTTTCCTACGAATCCGCAAGAGCGCGCGGGATGAGATTTTGACATTTTTTTGTTGAAAAACCATTGGTTTTTTGATGTTTTTATGTTAAAATCGCTGCGAACACTAAGCTTTTGGAAGGATTTCGTCTTGCGCGCGCGAATGTCCACTTTACCTTATTTTTTGCAAGGGATTCTTGAAATTTGATTATATTAGAACAAGAAATGTCATTTTATAGTGTTTTTTGCAAGGGAAAACGGATTACAACAAAACAGCCGGATCTGGATCACATCGTTTTACCTGAGGCTTCCTCACGAAAATGATGAAAATGTAGCTGCGGCCTAGGCGCGGGGGGGGGGGCGTGCACCAGGGGGCCCAACAACAATTATTCTTTAGAATTAATAATGTTCAACAACAACAACAACAACAACAACAACAACAACAACAACAACAACAACAACAACAACAACAATTACAACCACCACAACAACAACAACAACAACAGCAACAACAACAACAATAACAAGGACGATGACGACCGAAGACCAACGACCAACGACCAGCGACGCCGCGGGCGGGAGATTAAAAGCGTCGGGTGGGTCGGGCAGACGGGACATTGCAGGGGGCGGGTCGGTCGGGAAAGACAGTAAAGCAGTCTGGCGGGCGGAATATCACAGCGGGCGGGCGGGCGGTAGATTTTAAATTCAAGCTTCGCTCGTTCGCGGGACGAGGCCGTTGGAAGAGGTACAGAGGAATGAACGACGAAATCGACGACGAAGGCAACGACGACGGGCGGGATATGACATGGAAGCCTCGGATGTCGATACGACAAAGCTGGAGGAAACTTAACCATTAAAAACAATGATGCAAGGATGACCACGGCTGGGATAATGAAGCCAGCGGGCGGGCAGGACATGAAATGTAAACCTCGCTCGCTGGTGGGATCATGTGCGTCGTCGCCGTCGTCAGTGTTGCGTCAGTGTGTGTCGTCGTCAGCGGCGTCGTCAGCGCCAGCGTCAGCGTCTTCTTGGGCGTCAGCGTCAGCATCGTCATCGCCAGTGTCGTTGAGGTCTGGGGTTACCCAGTGGCCACCCCGTTGAAGCCCGTGTAGCGATCCAGGAGGACCGCGTCGGGCATGTTCCCGATGTATATTCCCAGCGCAACACCTGCCACTGGCGAAGGGGAGGAGAAGAACCAGAAGTGAGAGCGTCTGGAGTCTCGTCGCCTGAGCCCTCGACTCTTTGCCCAATCGGTGCTTCCACGGAAGGGGCCCCAGCGGAAATGGACGGGTGTCGAAAAAGTATCTGGCTAATTTCGGTGGGCGGCCAGCTTCCCGTGCTCCCCGCTCTGGTCCCCTGGCACCCAGCAGAAGGCTTTGGCGGAAGTGTGCCACTGGAGGAGGAGGAGGAGGAGGAGGAGGAGGAGGAGGAGGAGGAGGAGGAAGAGGAGGAGGAGGAGGAGGAGAGGTGGAGGAGGAGGAGGAGGAGGAGGAGGAGGAGGAGAAGGCGGAGGAGGAGGAGTAGAGGGAGGAGGAGGAGGAGGAGAGGAGGAGGAGGAGGAGGAGGAGGAGGAGGAGGAGGCGGAGGCGGAGGCGGCGGAGGAGGAGGAGGAGGATAGAGGGAGGAGGAGGAGGAGGAGGAGGAGGAGGGAGGAGGAGGAGGAGGAGGAGAGGAGGAGGAGGAGGAGGAGCGGCCTTGCAGGGCTCCTGGTGCCAGGCTGCGCCCGCGCCGACCCTCGCGTCTGCTGGGGGTGGCAGCGCGTGGGAGGTGATTCGCTGCCCCCCTCCTCTTGGGCAAACTCCCCTTTTGAGGGAGGGGGGGGGTGCGAGCCTCCCCGGCGCCTCTCCGGAGCCTCCTACGAGCCTCGTCAAAAATGTCCAGACATGGAAATTGAAATCCTGGAGCGCGATGCTTTCGGGCACTTGTCAGAAAACGCGTTCTTCAATGCTGGGAGGGTGGGGTCGATTGTTTGACAACACCGCGTCCGAGTCAACAGGCATCCGTCAGCATTGGAGTAGCGCTGATCCCACAATCACCGAATCCAGAAGTCTTCTGTTTACTTTTGGCGAGGCTTGTAAGAGCCCCCAAAATACCAAAGAGAGCCCAAACAGCGCGCCAAGAGATTCCCAAGAAGCGTCGAGACGGCCCAGGGCAGCCCCACGACGGCCCAAGATGCCTTCGAGAGGGCCCACGAGGCCCCCAAGGCGGCCCAAGAGTGTCCCCCCCAAAGGGCCTCCACGAGAACCCCAAGAAGCAAAAATCGTCACCTTCCCGCGGAAAACGTACTTCTTTTAGCAGACTCGCCATTTGTTCATCTTGAGAACATCCAAGACGGCCCAAGGAGCCCCCAGGACCGTCTCAAGACGGCCTGTGAGGCCCCCAAGTGGGCCCCAAGACGGCCCGTGAGGCCCCCAAAACGGCTCCGAGGGCCCCCTCAGATGGCCCAAGACAGCCCCAAGGAGGCCATGTGAGGGGCCAAACAACATTCCGAGCCTTTCCCCCCAAGAACGGCACCAGAGGCGCCCAAGACGGCCCAAGAGGGCCCCAGAAGAGCCTCAAGAGGGGCTCAAGAGGAGAGCGGGAACTCGAACTTCCATGTCGAGCCCTCCGCCCCGAAAGGACCCCCGAGACCGCCAGACGACCCCCAAGAGACCTCTACGAGGCTCCAGGACGCCCCCAAGAGGCCCCCAAAAAAGCGCAAGGGAGCCCCACGGGCGTTTCCTGGGAGGCAGAAGGCCTCACCCGTGGACTTCGTTTCCCCTCTGGGGGGTCCGGCGGAATGGCGCAGGCCACCGGAATAAAAGTTCCCCGCCGATTCGAATCCGGCGGGCGGCCCAGGTGCCCAGATTCCTGAGAGCAGAGAGCACAGCGAGCAGGGAGAGTATATAGAGGGTAGAGAGAGCGTACATACCCTAGAGAGCGGAGCGAGTAGGAAGAGTGAAGAGAGCAGGGAGAGAGAAAGAGAGGGGGGGAGAAAAAACGGATAGATCAAGAGAGAGAGAGTATAGAGGGTACACAACATGGAGAGATCGTGGAGTAGAGCGCCACGAGTGGGGAGGCGAGAGAGGAGATCGAAGGATAGAGAGTGGAGATCAAAGGATCGAAGAGTGGAGGGTAGAGAGCATAACTAAGATGTAAACGGGGAGGGCGTAGAGCAGAACGCAGAAGGCATAGAACAGAGAGTACAAAGCAGGGAGCAGCAGGCAGGAAGCAGAGAGCAGAGAACGCAGGTAACCATGTTCGGCATCATTCGCCCTGGCCCGCCACCAGGGCGCTGCCTTTTCACACCGCACGCACGAAAACCTGGCTGTGTCTCCTCATACTTAGCGCAAACAACGTCCTTAGATCTTTACGCACGAACAGATTTACCGTTTGCGAACGAAGTTCCACAAGTCGTATCAGAAGGATACCAGCGCAACACGTGTTTCAGCATAATGGGGTCGAGAAGAAAGAGGAGGAGGAGGAGGAGAAGGAACAAGAGGAAGAAACATACGTCCTTCAGGAAGCATAGAACCATCCTCGCCCCCATCGAGGCAACCCTGGCCCCGCTGGACGACCTACTGTGTGGGGATGGGTGGCGTCTCCATCGGGATTCGCAACTCCCACCCCCACCCAGAAGGGCACGCTGGGAGAGCCACCTCACCGTGTCCCCGCAGAGGTTGGGATGGTTCTGACGATGTTGAGTCCTCTTACTGCTTCTTGTCATCGTCATCCTCCTCCTAGAGAAATAGAGCAAGGGCCCCCCTCACGAATCATACGGGTACAACGTGGGGTCAGGTCCCGGCGGTCTCTGGCCAGATCGCCAGCGATCGCGATTCCTGGTGCTAGCAGACGGGCGCGACCTCGTGGTACAGCGGAGCATGCACTCTGTGCTCCCGACAGTGACAAATCAATGCCGACGAACTGCCCTGCAACCATGCCCATCGGTCGGAAGAAGCGGGTAGACACGTGAAGTAGGAAGGCGTTGGAAGTAGATTGGGCTTTCGCCCGCCCCATGAAGAGGAGGGGAGAGGGAAAACCACTCGACTCTTGAAGTACGAAGGCGGCTAGAGTAGATTGCGATCTGGGAGTCCAAATGATCACAAATACCTAAGAACTCTCAACGACCTACGACGACGACGACGATCGACGATCGACGACGACGACGACGACGACGACGACGACGACGATCGACCATCGACCATCGACGATCGACGACGCGGGCCACGGTTCCCGACACCACGCGAACCGCTCGACCGTGGACGCCCTCTGCTCTCGGAGGTCCCCCTGGGGGCCGTCGGCCCCATGCATGGCCTGAAGCTCGCGATTATCGGATTCTATCCGCCGCGGGCCCAGGTGCCCGGAGTGTCCCAACGATGTGCAGCGGAGGCCAGTCCACAAGAGAAAGAGGAGGAGGAGGAACAGGAGGAGGAGGAGGGGGGAAGAGAGAGGGGCCGCAGAGGCCCTGGCGCGGTGTGCCCGAGCCAGAGACGCAGCCACCCCGTGATCCAAACATGCAGCGGAGGTCAGTCCACAAGAAACCGTCCCAAAAAAACACAACCCTGAGACCCCAGGACGCCCTCTGCTCTTTTGTGTTGGAGCGTCACGCTTTCCACAGCAAAACCATCGAAACCCAAGAAGCCCCAGTCACCCTGGAGGCAAGCAGGGTGTTTCTTGGCATGGGCCTCCACTCTTCCCAACCCTTGCGCAACGCGTGGCCAGAATAGCCGAGTTGCCTTTACCGTTTCGCAGATCGCAGCCCCCCAGGGATGAGAGAGATAGAGGGAGAGAGGGAGGAGGAGGAGGCAGGCGGGAAGGAGGAGGGACGCGACCACAGTGCTCTCAAGTCGAAACGAGAACCCAACAACGGAGGGTTGGGAAAGAAGTACCCAGAGGGGGTTCAACCTTGAGCACCAGCGCTATTCCTAATACTCAATACCTCTGGGCCCCAGACTGCAAAGCCCCCCCCCCGCCCTGGTTACGAGCCCTTACCCTCAGCCGGATTGAGGACCACCCCCTACTGACAATCGGACCCGCCCCCCCCCCGACGAATTACAAGGCCCCACGCGCCCCCAGGACCACAAGGCACCACCCACCAAGACTGCAGGGGCCTTCCCCGCATCCAGCCCAAGACGGCTGAGGCACTCGGAGCAGCAACAGCCGCCTCGCCAGAGACGGCCCGGCATAGGGCCTGCCGCGGCAGATGCCACCCAAGAACGCGGAGCGGCACGGGCCGTTGGTCCCAGCCCGGCTGGCCCAGCATGCGGTTCACGTTGCGCTCGGCGAGGGAGCCTCTGGGGTGGGAGGACGGATCCGCGGAAGATCGCCGCGCGACCAGACCCAGCTGTCCGACGAAGTGTGTGTGTGTGTGGGTGTGTGTGGGTGTGTGTGTGTGTGTGTGCGTGCGTGTGTGCGTGTGTGCGTGTGTGCGTGTGTGCGTGTGTGCGTGTGTGCGTGTGTGCATGTGTGCGTGTGTGCGTGTGTGCGTGTGTGCGTGTGTGCGTGTGTGCGTGTGCGTGTGTGCGTGTGTGCGTGTGTGCGTGTGTGCGTGTGTGTGTGTTTTTATGTGTCGGCCTCCCAGGATGTTTTCCGCTCTTGTTTGGGCCTCCTGAGAGCATCTTGTCGCCACGGTTAGACCCGCCTCGACAAACATACCCAGATGAACCCCCAGGAGGGGCCCAGGGACTGATTTTGAGCGGACTCTCGGGAGATCCGATTTTTCCAATCCTGGCGTCTGACTTCCATCTCGGGCTCCAGGACCCGCTGCTGGGCCCTGGGACCACCAGAACCGGCTCCCGGACGCACGACTACCCTCGGGGAAGGGGTCGGGAGCCCAGGGGGCGCGCATGGAAAAATCACATCGGAGGACCCAGACATCTGGCTGCTCCAATCTTGTCGGGGGGTGGGCCCGAGAGGTCCAGACCACTTCCCTGCGGCCGGTGTCTCGTTCCGAGCTGACGCTCCCGAGGCCCAGCGAGGGCCCTCGGAGGCCGAAATCAGCCCGGCCCAAGACCGCCCGCTCCCAATTGTTTGGAGCGTCGGATCTCTGGGGATGCCCGGGGAGGATGCACGAGGAAAGACGCAGACATCGTGCTGCCACGAAGGACGCGCTCAGGAAGGAACGGGAGGGGCTCTTCCGGCAACGGCGGGCCTCGGCCACGAGTGCAGCACAGCCTTGCTGGCATCCTGGGCTGGCTCTGGTCCTCCTCCTCCTCCTCCTCCTCATCCTCCTCCTCCTCCTCCTCCTCCTCCTCCTCCTCCTCCTCCTCCTCCCTATCATCATCATCATCATCATCATCATCATCATCATCATCATCATCATCATCATCATCATCATCATCATCATCATCATCATCATCATCATCATCATCATCATCATCATCATCATCATCATCATCATCAGCAGCAGCAGCATCATCATCATCATCATCATCATCAGCATCATCATGACCAACACCACCATGATGATGATGATGATCAGCATCATCACCACAACCACCACAATCATCACCACCACCATAATGATGATCATCATCAGCATCATCATCATCAACATCATCATCAGCATCATCACCATCATCATCATCATCATCAACATCATCATCACCATCCTCCTCCTCAGCCTCATCATCATTCTCATCATCATCCTCATCCTCACCCTCACCTCATCCTCATCCTGGTCCATCATGATCCTGATCTTCATCCTCATCCTCATCCTCATCCTCATCCTCATCCTCATCATCATCCTCATCATCCTCATCAGCATCATCGTCATCGTCATTGTCGTCACCGTCGTCGTTGTCATCGTCACCACCACCACCAGCACCATCATCATCATCAGCATCATAACCAACAACATCAACATCAGCGTCAGAGTCATCATCATCAGCATCATCATCACCATGACCACCACCACCACCATCATCTTCATCATAATCATCAGCTGCTTCATCATCATCAGCATCATCCACAGTAGCATCATCATCATCCTCATCATCATCAGCAGCATCATCATCACCACCATGATCACCATCAGCATCATGATCGACATCATCGTCAGTATCGTCATCATCATCATCACCATGATCGTCATCCGAATCATCATGATCAGTATCAACATGACCACCATGAGAATCTGCATCATGATAATCACCACCGCACCATCCTCAACATAAACGTCGTCATCATCCTCAGCAACATCATCATCATCATCATCATCATCATCATCATCATCATCATCATCAGCATCAGCATCCGCATCCTCATCCTCATCCTCGTCCTCGTCCTCACCCTCGTGGTCGTCGTGGTCGTCGTCGTAGTCGGCGTCATCGTCATCAGCATCAGCATCACCACCATCACCACCATCATAATCAACATCAGCATCAGCATCAGCATCAGCATCAGCATCAGCATCAGCATCAGCATCAGCATCATCATCATCATCATCATCATCATCATCATCATCATCGCCAGCCGCAGCAACAGCCACATCGAACTCAACATCAGCGTCGTCGTCATCATCACCGTTCTCTTCCTCGTCGTATCGTCGTCGTCGTCGCCGCTGCCGCCATCAGCATCATCATAATTATCAGCATAAGCATCATCATCATCACCATCATCACCCATCATCATCATCATCAGCAGCAGCATCATCATCGACTCGTCATCATCAGCAGCAGCATCACCACAACAATAAGAATCATCATCAGCATGATCATCATCATCAGCATCATCATCATCATCAGCATCGGCATCATCATCATCAGCACCGTCATCATCCAACCTATCATCCTAGTCTCTTCTTCCTCCCTCCTCATTGTCTTCCTCACCCTCTTCCTGATCCTCATCCTTGCCATCGTTGTCTTCATGCTCGTCCTCCTCCACCGCCTTGCGGGGGTCGGATGGGCTCTCCTGGGCGATGCCGTGGATGCTTAGTAATCTCGCGGCGGATACTCGCACGCCTAGAAGCATAAGACATCTCATGAACCTGTCGGCAGCCTCTTAGAAGTGATTCCAAACAGGAAGCGGAATTGAGAAACTGACAAAGACAACACTCAAGCCGACACGCAGCGTCCTCGGGGCAGTGAGCGGCGCCCTACTCGGGCGAACTGAACCTGACGGCCGCACATGGGGGGGGGAGGTAGACGCCAGCCCTTCGGCTCCCAGAGCCTATTGACAGAGAGTATAGGAAGCAGACGCTGCTCACACAACTGGAGCGGTAGCCGCGCACGTACACCGACCACAAGAAAGACCTCGGTTTTGCCAGCTGCGTATCGGCGCAGACCGCCCTCGGCCTGCGCCGAGAGCGGCCAGCGCAGTGGTGGCCTCCCGCACCCTCCTCTCTCATCCACGATCCTTCCCCTCCTCCTCCTGCTTGACCTCCTCCTCTAATTGCTCTGGATCTTCCACTTTCTTCCTCCTCCTCCTGATCATCATCGTCATCAACATCACCAGCATCATCCTCATAATCATCAGCATCAGCATCAGCATCATCATCATCATCATCATCATCATCATCATCATCATCATCATCATCATCATCATCATAATCAGCATCATCATCGCCATCCTCATTCCCATGCTCATCCTCATCCTTCTCCTCCTCCTCCTCCTCCTCATCATCATCATCATCATCATCATCATCATCATCATCATCATCATCATCGTCAACATCAGCCTCAGCATCATCATCATCATCAGCAGCATCACCATCATCATCATCATGATCAACATCATCATCAGCAGCATCATTATCATGATCATCATCAACATCACCAGCATCAACAACATCATCAACAACAACAACCACAACAACAACATCTCTCATAGTCTCTCCTCTCTGCTCTCTCCGCTCTCCTCTCCTCTCCTCCTCCTCCTCCTCCTCCTCCTCCTCCTCATCATCATCATCATCATCATCATCATCATCATCATCATCATCATCATCATCATCATCATCATCATCATCATCCTCCTTCACCTCCTCCTCCTCTTCCTCCCCCTCCTCCTCCTCCTCCTCCTCTACTCCTCCTCCTCCTCCTCCTCCTCCTCCTCCTCCAGTTCCCCCTCCTCCTCCTCCTTCTCCTCCTCCTCCTCCTCATCCTCCTCCAGCTGCTACCCCTTCCTCCTCATCACCACCTACTCCTGCCCCTCGTCATGCCTGCTCGTCTCTCCTCCCCCCTCTATCATCTAGCCTCCCTCAACCCTCCTCTGTCCTCTCTTCTCTCTCCTCTCGACAGTGACACATTGTACGTACTACTCTCGTCTCTTCCTTGATTCCGTCCGGAACATTGTGGGAACTCTCCGCGTATTGTTGCTAGCGCACAGAAGTGGACAAGTGTGGTATCCCCGATTGTTTGAGGTGTTTCGAAATGGTGTTCCCGCTGCAGCGTCGGCCTCATTTGCGGATCGGCCCTTTGCGCCCGTCGTTCAGAATGGCGATCTCGCCCCTCCGAGGGCCACTTGTTTGGATCCGAGTCTTTCTTCGTCGATGTCGCACCCCCTCATTTCCCCCCAGCCGCCTTTCCCTGGTCCTCTTGCTCCTCCCGCGCCTTCCACTCCAGTTCCTGCTGCTGCTGCTGCTGCTGCTGCTGCTGCTGCTGCTGTTCGTCCTTGTTCTCCTCCTTCCATATGCTCCTCCCTTTTCTCCTGCTCATCCTTCTGCTCACCCACCTCCTCCTCTTCCTCCTCCTCTTCCTCCTCCTATGTACGCAGCTCCCATGTTGCCAATTGCGCATACCACAGTGGGTATTTTTGTTTGAGTTCCAGGTCGGCTTGAACACGCGTCCGCGGATAGGGAAAAACACCGCAATAGGAATGAATGGAAGGGAGGGATAAGATGCCGGATATGGCTGGAGCGCACCTAGCTTGCCTCTTTCCTCGCCTCTCTCCTTTCTCCTCTCTCCTCCTCTTGCTCCTCCTGTTCCTCCTCCTCCTCCTCGTCCTCATCTTACCCCCTCCTCCTCCTCCTCCTCCTCCTCCTTCTCCTCCTCCTCCTCCAACTCCTGCTCCTCCTCCTCTGCCTCCTCCCTTGCCTCCCATCCTTTTCCCTTTTGCCGCCAAGCACCTGCCCAAAATCCGCGCGGGTCGGGGATGTTCGTCTGTCAGACTGTGCGTGTCACTCATTCGCGTGCTGTGCAAAAGCCTGAAAGACTTGCTTCAACTATAACGCGATGCTGGGCTCGTCCAGCCGGCGTGGCGTTGACGTCGTTTTTGTTGAACGTCCAATCCTTATCCTTATCCTCCCTCCTCCTTCCCCTCATCATTCCCCTCCCCACCCGTCTACCCAGACCTCCAGCCACTCGAGCCGTTTCGAGCCGCCAGCTCCTTGAGCCCTCGACGGATTCCCTGGAATCGCCTTCTCGTCCTGGGTCGCTGTCGTTGACGGCCCCGAGGCCTGGAAACGACTGCTGGACGCCGAGTCGAACAAGCTCAGGGCCGATGCTTCCGATGATGCGAGGTGAGGGTGCAAGACACCACCCCTGGAGATGCACGCTGGGACAACTCCAGGATCCATGGCCAGGGATGGCCCGACGACGCAGGGGTGCCAGGCTTGCCTTGAAATATACAAGAGGATCCGGCTGGGGACACCCAGCCTCGCCATGAAGAAGGATGACAGCGACGACGTCGGGGCCGAGGGCAACGGGCGCGCGAGAGCGTGCAAGAAGCGCAGCACGTGTCAACGAACAAGATGTCTACATGCGTAAATCCTAGGCCCAATCGGCCGCTCTGGATGAGCGTCCCCGCCGTGCTCCCTCGACGTATCCAGGCTGCGTCCTCCAAGCCGCGCCAAGGCAACATCACACCTTGATTCCGACCCTGCACGACACAAAACATCGAGCTCTCGACTCGCGCAGGGGTGCGGCAGACGCTGAGGTGAAGTCAGGGTGAAGGCCGTTGTGTACCGCATGGCCAGCTTGTGGTCCGGCCACTGGGCGCGGCAATTTTATTACTTGTAGGCGGCCGCACTGTCAGAAGGCAGCCAGCAGACAAACTCTTGGTTCAGGCCACAGGCAACAACCGATAGCACAAACTCTGACTTCAAGTGCGTACCTGTAGGCGACGATGTGGTACGAATTTGCACTAACGAACACCAGTTTTAAGTAGCCAGCGCACATGTCAAGGAGATGTTACTTTCAGGTGCCTTTTCAAAAAACGTCCCTGAGGGATATGATTCAATAGCTCTCTTCTGCGTCCTTCCGGAGTCCGCCGAGCCATTTGGGGCCACCGTGCGCGTGAGACTCTCTCTCTCCCCTCCCCCTGCCCCGCCCTACCCACAAGCCCTCACAAGGCATTTGACAGGCAGGCACGCGCCCGACCCACCCGAGGCGCTTAGCAGCAACCAGGGCAGCGAGGCCTGCCTTGACCCTTCCGGCGCCGCTCCGCCGGATCGCCGGGGTGCCGCAGGATCGGCTGCACGCAAGAAAGACCCTAGGCAAGAGTGACCTGTGATGCGCGATGCAGGGGGGAAGGGGGGGGGGACGGGGGAAGGGGGGGGGGAAGCGAGGAAAAGGGGGGGAGACAACGGGGGCAAACGCGGGCGCGCAGGCCGCTGGGATCGCATCGAGGTCAGCGATCGGGGGGCCCCGGCAGGCCCACGCCAGAGGCCACCCCAGCAGACTGTAGAAGAAGAAAGAACGCCACAAACATAAACGTTTGGCGCTCCGCGCGGGTTTCTTGGATCTGCGCTGGGACCCCCTTCCTGGCGCGCTCCGCGCGCCAGGGGCGGCGCCGGAGGCGCCGCCGGGGGCCCCAGCGCGGATCCAAGAAATCCGCGCGGAGCGCCAAAAGTTTATGCTTATGGCGTTTTCTCTCCCTCGAGACTGGCACTTTCGACGTCGGCTCGGCGGGCGGTGGCGGCGGCCGACGGGCGGCCGAGCTTCCGGGCAGCGGCGCCCCCTGGCTTTGGAGGGGTCGAGATGTTTTTTCCCAACCCTCCTTGGTTGGGTGCTCGTTTTGAATAGAGCACTGCGGTCGCGTCTTCTCTCCTCCTTCCCGTCCCCCTCCTCTCCTCCCTTCTCTTCCTCCTCTCTTCGCTCTTCCTCTTCTCTCTTGCTTCTCTTGACCTCTCAACTTCGGTTCTCCTCTTCTCTCTTGCCTTTTACGTCGCTTGCCCCTCGCCATCCCTGGGGGGCTGCGATCTGTGAAACTGTCGCCACTTTCGAAGGCTGTTGGGGGGCCCAGCACAGTGACGTCTTACGGGGACTCAGATTAGACCTCGCCATCGCTGGGGGGCTGCGATCTGTGAAACTGTCGCCACTTTCGAGGTCTGCTGGAGGGCCCAGCGAGTGACGTCTTACGGGGACTCAGATTAGACCTCGCCATCCCTGGGGGGTTGCGATATGTGAAACTGTCGCCACTTTCGAGGGCTGCTGGGGGGCCCAGCACAGTGACGTCTTACGGGGACTCAGATTCGACCTCGCCATCGCTGGGGGGCTGCGATCCGTGAAACTGTCGCCACTTTCGAGGGCTGCTGGGGGGCCCAGCCCAGTGACGTCTCACGGGGACTCAGACTAGACCTCGCCATCTCTGGGGGGCTGCGATCTGTGAAACTGTCGCCACTTTCGAGGGCTGCTGGGGGGCCCAGCACAGTGACGTTTTACGGGGACTCAGATTAGAACTCGCCATCGCTGTGGGGCTGCGATCTGTGAAACTGTCGCCACTTTCGAGGCTGTGAGGGTCCCAGCACAGTGACGTCTTACGGGGACTCAGGCCATCCCTGGGGGGCTGCGATCTGTGAGTCGGTCCCTGCTGGGGGGCCCAGCACAGTGACGTCTTACGGGGACTCAGATTAGACCTCGCCATCCCTGGGGGGCTGCGATCTGTGAAACTGTCGCCACTTTCGAGGGCTGCTGGGGGGCCCAGCACAGTGACGTCTTACGGGGACTCAGATTAGACCTCGCCATCCCTGGGGGGCTGCGATCTGTGAAACTGTCGCCACTTTCGAGGGCTGCTGGGGGCCCAGCACAGTGACGTCTTACGGGGACTCAGATTAGACCTCGCCATCCCTGGGGGGCTGCGATCCGTGAAACTGTCGCCACTTTCGAGGGCTGCTGGGGGGCCAGCACAGTGACGTCTTACGGGGACCCAGATTAGACCTCGCCATCGCTGGGGGGCTGCGATCTGTGAAACTGTCGCCACTTTCGAGGGCTGCTGGGGGCCCAGCACAGTGACGTCTTACGGGGACTCAGATTAGACCTCGCCATCGCTGGGGGGCTGCGATCCGTGAAACTGTCGCCACTTTCGAGGGCTGCTG